ACCGCTGGTTTCCCTGAGAACTGTTTATTTTTCCAGGCCTAAGGTTATTACATCGCGGTTTCTGGGCAGGCCAAGAGCACTGGTTTGGGGGGTGGGGGATCCAGCCAGGAGGTGCTGTTGCCTCTGTGACCCCAAATCCCAGTCCTAGCAGCAGCCATCCCAGCAGGAGCTTCCAGGTGAGGGAGGAGCATACAAAATGTGACCAATGGGCCCAAAAAGCAGGCCTAGAAGAGCACCGATCTGAGCCTGGCAGGTCAGGACAGGATGCTGTAAACAGCTTCCTTGTGATGTAGATGGTGAGAGAGGCAAACACTCTCACTTACCAGGGGGACAGGGGTCACTGTCATGGCAGAACTTATAAGAAATGCATTTCCACCTTGTGTCCCCGCTGATGGCTTGTTTGCAGGGAGCAGAGTTACCACCAGCTGCTGCATTCACAGATCTACAGGAGGAGGGTCTGCCAGGCAAGGAGGTAAGGAAGGAAAGGCGTGGTCCTTTTGGATTTAACCCACAGGGCCAGGTTCTAGGGCTTCTTGGAGTCCCAGATCAGATCGTGAAGGAAGTGAACTAGAAAAGATGGAGAGAAAGGAAAGAAAGAAATGGTGGGGGAGGAAGGGAAGTCCAGTGAGTGGCCACAGGAGGGAACCAGGTGGAGACAGAGGCAAAGGGCCTTCGTACATGCCTTGAGGGCACGGTTTGCAAGAAGAAAAGAGGGAAGGCTCACGCGACCACATTTCCTGGGAGATGGCCTTTTCCCAGAGGAGAAAGCACAGAGTTTTGTCAGAAAGAGAAAAAAAACAAGACTTCTATCAATCACAGCTGTGGGAAAGTGCCTGTAAAATCCAAAGCAGTAAGATATGGATAAAGAATGAGATGAAGCCTAATTTTTGTCATTTCCTTAATCTCTTTACTCTCTTCTCTAAGATGTATTATAGATGATTACAATTTTTTGAAATTCTAGTTATATTGAGAAATGCCTTCGTCACTAGCCCCTGATACCAAAAACTCAGCAAGAGTTCCTGTTTTCTTATAAAAGCAGAACAGAGTCTCTGGCCAGCTTGCACAGGAGAAGATGCTGTCTCTCAAATTCTAGGATGTTCGCCGCCAGGTGTGCCGTCTGCCTGGTTGCAAGAAGAACTCCTGGTACAATGGAGGCGAGAATCAAACAGGAGTCCAACAGGCAAACCTGCTGCCGCTGACCCTGCCACATACTCAGAAGGAGACACTGACCATGATGAACACATGACAAAGCCTTAAAAACAAGGGCCAAAACCTCCAGGAGGAGGGAAGGAGACAGGATAAGTCTGCAGGCATATGTGTCATGTTATTGCAAAACTTCAGCTGCCCAGTGGAACCTTTCCAACATCAACAGTCGCCAGGCCAGAAGACAAACCTGGCGTCACAGGGTCTGAGTGTGAAAGAAGGATGTTTGGGGTGTAAAAGAAACTGGGATGCCTTTTCGCCTCTGAGAGAGAGAAAGCTGAGAAGAGCTCTCACTCAGTCGGCTCTCAGAGTCCCACTCCAACCTCCCCAGAGGCAAGGGCAGAAGCTCTCCTGGACCCAGAATCTTTCATTAAACTCTAATGGGAAAGTGTCCCAGAGGCCTGACTCAGAGGCTCTAGTCCATACCAGAGCCAGCCGCCCAGACCCAAGTTAACATACAAGTCTATCTGACTTCTCATCAGACCAAGTGAGATGATGTGAAAAGTGGCTAGCACAATACATCAGGATATTCCATCGAGGTTTTTTTCAATAATTCACGTACACTTACTATGTGCCAGGCACTTTTAGATACATTGAATTCTCAGAAAAATCCTGCAAGGCGTTAATGATTTTAACTAATAAGTAAGGAAATCAAAGCTCGGGGTAGTTAATTAACTTTCTCAAGGTAACCCAGCCTCTCGGTGGGAAGCAAGCATCAGAAGCCAGGTCTATAGGTTTGCCTGATACCAAAGCCCACGCTTCTACCATTATGTGGTTGATCTCGTCTACATACAAAAGATTCCCTACCCCCCACCTATGAAGGCCAAGCCTCAGGATGCTTCCTGGGCAACCCACTTGTGAGAGCACGCACAGGACAGGATGTTAAAGCTCATGTGAGAGCAGAAAATGCGATGTGGGCTGCCTTAAAGAGTTTTGCGCTAATTCAGGCTTCCCCAGGCATGTCAGGAAACGTCTCGGGAGGCACAGTCCCTACTTCTAGGAAAGGGGCCCCAAAACCTGAGAAAGACACACACCCCCACACACGCTCCCATCCAAACGCTTCCACTTCAATCTTATATAACGGGGCCAGCAAACTTTTCTTCTGTAAAGGATCAGATCATATTTTAGGCTTTGCAGGCCAGACGGTCTCTGTCACAGCTCTTCAACTCGATGGTTGCAGCACGGAAACAGCCATAGACAGTATGTAAAGAAATGGACATGGCTGTGTTCCAATACAACTTTGTTTGCAAAATCAGGCAAGTGGCCATTTGCCAACCTCTGTTACATGCCTATGTGACACAGTGTCCCTCACACCTAATTACATCAAAAAGGTTGACAGTCACTCAGTCAGTTTTACCACCTGATCATGATGGAGAATGTCCCTAGTTTATTAGAAAATGCCTATGGTATCAATCTCTGATAATGATTGCTGGTCTCAGTTACTCCCAGGGAACCTTTGGCTCTCCTCTAACTATCCTGTCCTGTACGCTAAACTTACAGACACAACTGGGTCAAACCAGGAAAAAATAAAGGTGGCTGGGTGCCTCGCACAAAAGGAAGGGGATTGTACCTGCCTGGAAACCATTTTTCAATATGATCCCATACTCATGCAATTGGAAGCTACACAGGGGAAGAACGAGTGGGAAGGGGAAGGACTTGAGCGGAAGCAAACATCACCAAACTTGACACTGCCTCTTTACTACACACAGAGAATGCAGCCCAAGAAGATAGGCGCTCTCTTCCCAAAGAGAAATCATTTTCTCCAGCCCCACCACTTACTAGCTGTGACCCAGGACGAGTTACTTCCTCTCTCTCATCCTTTGACTCTTCATCTGTAAAATGGGGTAATAACAATACTTATAGGGTTATGGTGACACTCAAATGAGAAAACACATAGCTGATATGGACTAGCTATGATGACACTGATGATTCTGACTTTACTGATGATGATCTTTTCTCCTCATCCCTTCTCCAAAGCAAACACGTTGAGCTAGATTCTCTAATAGATATAACAGACAGGCAGTAAAGCCCTTGCCTTCACAGAGTATAACTTAGGTAGAGAAATTAACCACTGGTAGGCGGAAAAAAATCATGGAAGCGGTTGCTAAATGTCAAACGAATGCTTCAGGCAAAAGGTGCTGTGTGATTTCAGAGAGAGCTCTCCCTCTTATCTACCCCTTGGTCACCGTACGAGAATTGAGCCTCCTACTGGGGCTCTGCAGACCTGCTGGGGGCTCAGGGAATGTGGGGATATTTTGCAGATATCACTTCCAGATACCACAGGCCCCAAGACCACTTCTCTTTGACTTATCATATTTGCCTAACAGTGAAGGGGGAGTGGAGGAAGGATCTAAGAAGCTTCCTAATAGATGTTTTTGTTAGGGTGACAATCACAAATTCTATCTCGATTGAAGAATTCTCACTAGAAGTATCGTTAATAGTCCCATTTTCCCTACCAATGATGATGATAATAATAAATACAATTGTACCTACAATTTATCATGCACTTACTATTTATCACTTAGCCAGACATTGGTTAAGTACCGTACAGACTAACTCAGTTAATCTTTACTCACCGTCCTTTAAGGGAGAGATTATGATCCTGGCTGAGAACTGGGGCTCAGTGGGCGTGGCCGGGGCAGGGGTGGGGCAGGCATTTAACTTGACTGGGTCTCTTACTAAGTGTTGGAGCCAGAACGAGAAACCCTGTTTGCTGATTCCAAAACCTGTGTTTTAACCATGGCACTGTTCTATCAAAGACTCTGGCCCACGGGACGTCACATGGGCTCCTTCCCACCCCAGCATCCCACACCTCCTCCGGCTTCTATCAAACAGGGCACCAGACACATGCCGAGGTACTCAGCAGAAAAAATCAACCAGGGCTATGTGACTTCACCTCATGGTCTAAGCCATTCCGTGCACTCCAGTCCCCATGACCTTTAGGACAAAGCTGGCATACTATACAGATAAACCAAAAGGGGGGCAAGGACTGCACACTCATTCATTAATGGTCATGCAAAACCCTGCCTGCCAGGTGAAAGGGATGTATCTTTAGTTTACAGTCCTTGCTATCTATCAGGAAACGATGATATGGCTAAATTCAACAACCATGCATAAATATGCCAAGTAGCGTTCCTCACAAGGAAGTCTGAGGCTGAAAGAAGGATGATTTCCCCCCCACCCCCGATAGAGATACAGATTGGATCTGTTAATACATTTTCCTGTCGATGGACATCTGGTCTTTTTTGAGGGTAAATGAACTTTATCAACTTTGGTCTTCATTGATGGTAAATGAACTCTAATCTGACCACTCTTCAGAAATTACCACCTTTCTACAAGGGTTCAGCCAGTACCAAAACCTGAACACTCACAAGACCCTCAAAAGATCAAATCAGAAAAGATAAGATTGGAGGCAGCTATTTAGAGCCTTAAAAACACATAGATCCAAGGCTCTTAAGGTTTGAAGTCCAATTCTCTATGCTCAGCCATTCTTCTTTCAAATTCTTCTGCATGGCATATAGAAAGTCAATTAAAATATTAAAACATACCATCAAGCTTTTTTTTAGCTAAAAGGATCAGCTATTCACGAAAGACGATCCCTAAACTATTCATTGAAGACAAAGTTGGAAGGGATTAACCCATCTCATCTCTGCATTTTACAGCTGTGGAAGAAACTGAAGGCCAAACTTGTTAAATGACTTGCCCAAGCCCACACAGTGATAGTCATGAAGCAACCATATGGCACCCGTGGACAGATCAAGTACATATCAATACATAATCCAAGGCAGGTTATTTACCTGAATTTCTTACATTGGTATTGTTCAGTTTGGAGTCCTTGATTACCAAGTGCTTAATCCAGAGAGTGGGAGCTGTGATTTCTGAAAAAAAAAAAAAAAAAGAAAAGAAAGAAGGAGAGAGAAGATAATGTCTGGGCAAAGAGAGTATGTAACTTGGAGCGTAACCCCCAGACTTTTTAACAGATATTTAAAAGCCTGAGGCATCAAGGCTTGAGCCATCTCCCTCATCCCATATCCACTTTGTCCCAACACCCTCTTGCTCCCTTTCTATGGAAGATCGTCTCCCCATCAGCTCATAGGAGCCAACCAGGGCCTCCTGTGCTGGGAAGCCGAGTGGTCAGAGTCCAGAGGCACTGAGCCACTCCATCCAGGAATAAAAATATTATCCCAGGAGGTGAGGAACACGCGCCAAGCCAAGCCTTTCTCAGCTGCTTCCCTGGAAGAAGATTTAAAGGGGGTAAATCAACAAACGAATATGCCAAACAAACCACAGAGACCATTTTAGAGGAAACAGCTGAGCCACAGCAGATTTTAGCTTGCTGAGACTCTGCTTCACATGGGGAAGAAAGTAATGGGTCTAATGTACGCTTCAATCCCCTTTCTAATAGTTTCTCATCAAACAGAGGCTGAATTCCTCCATCCAGAGAGTTCCAGGGTGCCTCCAGGTTCTCCAGGGGTGGGGTCACCCAGTGGACAGGTGCCATGGAAGTCTGAGGATGACCCTGAACACACTATAGAGTGACGAGATCTTCCATGAGTGTGTTGGGAAGGTCTTCCAAGCTGACATGGTCTCCATTCCACTCCCCCCTCCCCAGTCAATCCTCCAGGGTCCCAGACTTGCCAATGATCTAGGACATTTGTGGATCACAGAAACATTTTAACTTCTAGACATGAACACACACATATGTTCCACTCCATGACCAGTTGCAAAGGATATTTCACATTTCTATCTAAAGCTGAGCCTGAGCTAGGGACATCCTTAGCCACATCCAGAACCAACCAGTGGCATCATTTCTTTTTATTCCTCTGTCTCACTGTCTAGTCTTAGGATCCAGGCCTGGACATATTCGGCTGAAAGCTGCTGAAGGGTTGCCATATATTGCACTGAGCTCCACATCTCATTGTCAGACTTTCTAGAAACCGCACTCTGCCGAGTTTCCTGCCCCTCCTCATGGGAGCCTGGAGACCTCAGCAAAGCACACTGAAGAATGTAGGCCCTGAGCAGCTCAAACTCAAATCAAAGCCAGCCTTCTGCACCCAAGCTCCTCCTGTCCGTTCCTCATACCTCCAGAGATATCCAACCTCTATTTTGCCACCAACCACCGCTATTTCTCTTGACCTAGAATTTCTCCTCTCCCAAATGTCTTGACTCAACTCTCAAGGTCCCCACAACTCAGCCAAAGCAGCTCCATAAACCAGTCTCTTTCCTGCTACTTTCCTCACTATACCCCGTCTCCACTATATTCTCTCCTTTGCCTATGCCAGTGCCCCTGCCTGGAACACCCTGATTCCTCCCCCACATTTTCAAAATCCAGCTCACGTTCCCTCTCTTCACAGAATCTTTTCCCATACCACTGTGATCTCTTTCTTCCATACAGGTCTATTACCGAAAACAAACAAACAACTGAGACCATAGAGTTCCATACAGAAAGTTCTCCTATAGTTGCCGATCTCTTGAGAGCAAAAGGGCTTCCATCTCATCTACCTCCCCTTTGTCCCCCAGAGGCCTCCCACAATGCTGGGCACAGAGCATTACAGGAACTTGTTAAGTGCTGATTCATTTAGAGAGGGGATGCTGCTGGCCTGTCTCAGCCCTGGCTCCTTGGTCTTGGCAGCCCGCGGGGTCCATCCAGGCTGTGTTATTATTGGACGTTAGCAGCCAGGCAGGAAGCCTGGCAAGAAGAGAGGGCCTTTCCAGAAGTGGAGGGTGTACTAGTTCCTGGGAGGGTTGACATTTTTTTAAAGGTTAAAACAACCTGGCTTAACCTGGGAAAAATTCAAATTAAAAAAGAAAAAAAAAAACCAATAATAGTAAAGCTTAAACAAACAACCGAAGGAAAGACCTCCCCAAGTCTGAAAATGGGTGGGAGAATTCGCATCTGAAGTAATACAAGAGCTTACCCTCTCCATCGAACACCGGCTGGGTCTCCATCGTGGGTGTCGGCTTAGACCCGTCATCTGAATTGAGGGTTAAAAAGAATCGAAAAGAGACTACCATTATTGAGGTAAATACTATCTACTCTCCAGCACTATTGAATGGTTGGGGTTTGCACGTGGCCCGGCCAAGTCCCAGTGAGCAGACCAAAGAGAAGGAAAAGAAAGAAGAAAAGGGCTTCCCTGGTGGCGCAGTGGTTGCGGGTCCGCCTGCCGATGCAGGGGACACGGGTTCGTGCCCCGGTCCGGGAGGATCCCACATGCCGCGGAGCAGCTAGACCCGTGAGCCATGGCCGCTGAGCCTGCGCGTCCGGAGCCTGTGCTCCGCAACAGGAGAGGCCGCGACAGTGAGAGGCCCGCGTATCGCAAAAAAAACAAAACAAACCAAAAAAAAAAAAAAACAAAAGAAGAAAAGAACAAGAAGGAAAAGAGAATCACAGAGAGACACCAACAGACACACAATCCATGTGTGTGCTTCCAGGGAAGGGACCCAAGTTGTCATGGCTCTGGAGGGCCCCTTCTCATAACTCTGTACCAGCATGACTCCATCAGCCCTTGTTCTTTCCTCAGGAAAGCTGGGAGGGCTATCTTCACCAGCAGCCCTGAGTTTTGGCCAGAAATGTTAGGAGATGTTGGCACACTTGTGGCATCAAATTCTGATGTCCCCAGCTCCTTCCTGCCCTCTCGTGAAAGGTTCTAGCCAGTACCTTTTTCGTGGCCTTCACTGAAGAGCTTAAGGAAAACAAGAGAACATGGTGCCATTTCCTCCCAAAGTCCTAGCTATTTCTCCATCCTCATCTAAAAACAAAGTGAAGGTAAGAAGGACATTTCTCTCTCCAGCATGCTGAACTAAAAAGAATGGGGAATCCTTAGAACACTTTGAACTCTTGAAACAGCATGCACCCCAATTCCCAAGGAGAGGTTGGGGCAAACAAAATGGGAGAAAACAGGAGTAACTGTACCCTGGGTTTGCTTTGAAATTTCTAACACAGATGATAGGAGCAGGGAGTTCCCAGTAACAAAGTTCTAATACTTATGGTCCTAGTAGTGTTGGCAGCTCTCTCTGTAGACCAAAAACCTCTACGGATCAGAGTAAGTTCAGACTTTATTTACCTTTCAGGACTCTGAATTATGTTCATCGAGATCCCAAAAGCTTAATTTTGAACAGTGTTTCTCAACTTTTTTTTTTTTATTGCCCATCTAAGGAGTATTTTTAGACTTTTTTTCCTAATTAATTTCCTAGTGAAATGTTAATAACAAAGATACATTGCATACCTGTTTGTGTACTATATGTATAACTGTGCTTTATATGGAAAAAGAGCAAGTGCTCTTTTGTGCCCTAAGAACCAATTTCCACCTCCTTGGTGAAAGCTGGGAGCAGTTATCTTTACCTGTGTTGAGAACGCATACTTCCAAGATTTTTCTGTTTTCTCCTTGGGAGGGGGAGGGAAGGAGAGCACCATGGTCTCGGACACCGTGGTTACACAATTCCTTCTTCCCAAGACCCCCAGAGATCTTTTAGGACTGAACGCTATATTCTCCAAGCATTAACTATGGAGAATGCAAGTTCTCATATAGCCTGCAACGCCAGTCAGATCATCAATAATGACAGCCTTCACCATTTGGAGCTCCCAGAACTCTTGGCAGAGTTCCCTGCATCTTATCAGGGGAGGGAGAAAGAACACAGTCCTGATCCCTTTCTTATGCCAACACCCCACCTCTGGGATCTTAAGATTCAATAGCTATGGAGACCCTAACCCTCGCTTGAGGCTGAGGCCAGCAACCTGGCAGTTGTGTGACACCTGACCCTGCTATAATTCTCACGGGCCAACGTAAGACCCAACTCCCGCAGCGGCCAGGGTGATCCTGACCTATCTGACAATCACCCGCAGACATGAGACGTGGCAGGAAGAGAGGAGTAATGAAGCTGAATATCTTATTTGCCTCAAACTGGGATCCAGAATAGCCATCTTTTGATGCCAAACTGTGTACGTTTGACCTGGAAGTCATTGAGGGAGAAGAAACACAGAGCAGAGCCACACAGTGTCATTTTTTTTTTAATGGCATCACTTCCCTGACTCTATTAACACCTCTTTCCATTGAATTCAGTGAACCACTGAATGAAGTTTTTTGGCAGCTGCAATGCACATTTGGTTGCTGCTGCCGGATGCAGAGTTCACAGTCTAAATAGACCTGCACAGTGTGCTCAGCCCCTCCACACAGGGTGGCTTCATTTCAGGAGTCTTAAAGGGAATAAAGGGAAAGTGAGAAATCAAACATTCTCAGAGGGACAGCGATGACAAGCCAAGTGAAAAATGGCTTATGAGATATTTTAATATTCAATTAAGATCCTCCCATACGCCAAGAGCTGTATCTCCCTCTGGAGCAGGACGACAGAGAATACTCTGTTTACTTCTCCCATCATCCACATGAGAGTCTGGGACCGCCCATCTGGTCCAGCAATCAGTAAAGAAATCTGCTGCTCAAGGAGAGGAGGGTTTCCAGTCTCCCCGGGGAAGTCGAGGACCTCCACGATTGCCCAGATGCAGGCCCAGAAGCCCACATAGCATGAAGCCACGTGCAGGGAGTGAATCTTCCTGCAGGGTAAGGTCACCGAGGGTGAAGACATACAGCTGCACTGCCACCATGGAGGGCCTAGCTGGAAATCTTTATGAAGTGAGAAGAGACAAAGTGCCCTGCTGCCAGGAGAGCCACCTGTGAAATCCAGCATGCCCCAAGGATGGGCAGCCAAGCCAAAGCCAATAGGACCCTCTGACCATCATCTCCGGGCACCTGGGCACCTGGCATCCAACCCAGCAAACAAGCGCACCCTTCTACCAAACATAGGTCCAAGGCCTGGGTCCAAGGTCCACATCAGGCCTGCTTCCTGGAAAGCCCTGGGGCAACACCAGGACCCACACTGGGCCCGGGGGAGAGAGAAAAGCTTCCGCATGTGCCCCGGCCTCCCAGTCTCCAGTGGGGTCACAGTGCAGACACCGGCTTTGCAACCAACTAAGCTGGGTAACCTGAACCCCTCACTTTTCTTCTCTGGGCAGTGGTATCCTCTTCTAAAAGTGAAGCATGGCTGCACCCCTAGCCTCAGGACACTGGGTAGCTGTAAAAGACTCTAAAGGTCTCTTAAAGAAGGTATTAATCCATCGAGTGTTAAATCATCTTATCCAACTGCTTACTTTTAAAACTGGATTTGTAGAATTAAAATTCTATAAAGTTTTAAAAATAAAAAATAAAGTAAACCTTACAGCTCAATAAGAAGACAAACAGCCTGACTTTAAAATGGGTAAAATATTTTAATAGACATTTCAAAGCTGCACGGACAGCTAATAAATACATGAAAAGATGCTCAATATCATTAGTTGTTAGGAAACCACAAATTAAAACCACAGTGAGATACCACCACACACCTACTAGAATGGCTAAAATTTTTTAAATAGACACTATCAAGAGACAAGGATGTGGAGAAACTCAAACCCTCATTCCTTGCTGATGGGAATGTAAAACTGGGTAGCCATGACTGAAAAGAGTCTGGCAAATTCTTTAAAAAGTTAAACATAAACTTACCATTCAATCCAGATCCACTCCTGGGAATCTATCTAAGAAAAATAAAGACATATCCACCCAAAGACATGTATACAAATACTGATAGCAGCATTATTCGTAATAGCCTTGAACTGGAAATAATCCAAATGTTCGTCTACTGGTGAAGAGATAACCAAACTGTGATATACCCATACAATGGAATATTACTTAGCAATTAAAAGGAATGAATTACTGATACGTGTAATAATGTTGCTGAACTTCAAAAACATTACACTAAATGAAAGCAGCCATGTGCAAATACTACATATTGTTTGATTCTATTCATATGAAATGCCTAGTAAAGATAAATCTATAGAGACAGAAAGCAGATACATGGTTGCCTGGAGGAGGGAGTAGGGTATAACTATAAATGGGTACAAGGTTTCTTTGGGGGTGATGGAAATGTTCTCTGGTAATGACTGCACATCTCTATAACGGTACTAAATTCATTAAATTGTACATTTACAATGGGTAAATTTTATGGTATGTAATTATACCTTAATAAAGTTTTTAAAACAAAGCGGGGATGGAGTACCAAAGTCATCACAGGTAAATCATCAGGTGGCAGTAGCTAGATTATCTGAGCAATCCTTAATTTGGGGGGAGACTCTCCTGTATATCTTAAAGAAAAATATATCTGAATCTCAATTTACATGAGTGCATATGATGATTTCATGTGTGTGTATGTTTAATCTTGGTGATTCTTTTAGACCTCAAATAGTAAGACTTTCTTTCTCTTTGATACCATAATACTCTTTCAGACCGAGAAGAACACAGAAAACTGAAAAAAACCTGATTCAAAGATGACCATTTCTTTTACAGGGAGAAGAAAGTAAATTAGGAAGCATTAAAAAAAAAAAAAAGGCAAACCTGAGAGAATTTCTCAAGGATGATGTCAAGATCAACAATAATGAGTGTTACCACATTTTGCAACACTCAAGAGTTTCTGGCAGGTGGCTTTCTTCATCTCTTCTCACCACCGGCCAGGGCAGAGGAAGTCACCAGGCAGATAAAAAGAGATTGAGTTTCAGCGCAAGAAAGTGATTTGCTCAAGGCTCCAGAGGCAGTGAGCAAGCGGCGCTGGAAACCACCCAGGCCCAGAGCGGGGCGTCTAGCCGCACAAGATCCCCCAGCCCCCAACCACGCCTCTCCTTGCAGGTGCAGCCCCAGAAAGCCGCAGCCCCCACACGGGCTCTGCGAGCCTATCCAGACAGTGGGTTTGTGTGACAGCACAATTCTTTGCCCTGCGAGAAGGCCTGGCCCACGCACAGACAGCTGGAAGTCACTTCGACCCCTGATGACACCGTTCAAAGCCTCCTCTGTTTGGCTTTTTGATTCCTGATTGACATTCGCTGGCGAGTGGAGATAAATGCGGGGCTGAGGACAATGTTGACCGGCTCTGACTATTCTCAGGGAAAGACTTTTCA